TGAATATTGTAATTGTATAAGAGAAATATGGTTTGAGATTTGGTACAAATGTGCATGAGGAAGCGAAATCCGAAAAGAGTTTGATAAAGATAAGAAGATTTTTGTATGATTTTTATTTGATTCTATTTTATATTATTTAAAAAAATATTTTCTTAACTTTATAAAAAAAATTTTCAAAAGATTATAGAATATATTTTTTGTTTTTAATGCACGCTTTCAAGAGAAAGTAATGATGAGAAGACAAGAGAAGACCCAATACAATTGGATAATGAGGACACAAAATAAGACTTCGATAAATATATTGTATTTGTTCATCCAATTTCATACACATCCATAGTTGTCAAATAAAATTTTGAAGCTTTTTTTTTTTTTATTATATATCTATATTTTATTTTTCATAGTTTATATTTTGAAATTGAAATTGAAATGGAAATAATATGCATGTTTATCTAATTATTTAATGTTTATTAAATCTATATATATGTAAATTCATTATTATTATTTTATATTAAATCAAAATTAGATAGATCCTAATTATTATTATGAAAATACAATAAAGTATGTAAACACAAAATATATATAAAATATTTAGGATGTCTTAATTATAATATATCATTGCATTATCTCATTTTATCCCTCTAATTTTCCTTCTTCTTTTAATTGAATTTTTCTTTATTTTACAACAAATTTAATTTAATTAATTAGCTCCTCAAAAATAATGTCCAACGAGGAAGGGAACCATGGGAAAATAGGGGTGTTTGTTGGAGGAAAAAATGGGAAATGGTCTTGCCTCTTTATCTACCTAAAAATTAACCAATTTTTTCAATATTAATATTAATAATTAACAATTAATATCAAGAACCCTACTATTATAACTATCATATTATTAATTTTTTATTAATAGCAATTATAACAATCATAATTTGGTTGAGAACCGTGTAACTTTTGAGGAAAAAAAAAGGTCTATAATAAATTGTATATAATAATTATATAATAAATAATAAATAAATTTATATGATTATATTATATATTATTTATTATTATAAAGAAGAAGAACACAAAAAGGCTAAAAAAGATTATAACCATCCAAATTCTTCATTCCCATCAACTATCACATAATTAAATTTAATTAATTAATAGTAGAGATGAGCATAGTAACGGATACACTTCTATATATATATATAGATAATACAGAATATAATTGATAATAATAATATACATATAATGCTATCATATGCATTAAATAGAATGCTACCATATGCATTAAATAGGGTAAGCATTTTATATTTATCCCACCACACTAGCCCCACCCCATTCCCATTGACATTTATAGCCAAGAGCCTGCAATTAAATCTATGAAAACAACTAATCATTTTAAAATTTTAAATATTACTAATTAATATGTAAGTTGCTTGACTCTTAAAATTGTAACTTCCATTAACTTTTTCCTTCTTCATCTATTAAGAGATGAATGATCTTAAATATTACTAATTAATATGTTGGAAAAAAAATGATCATGCTTCTTCATCTACTTAAGAATAAACCAATCTTTTCGATATTAATATTAATAATGAACAATTAATATATCATTCATTTAAATTATTTTTAGTTATCAAGGCAAATAAATTTTATAATATACCATTCATGTTTGAACATTTATAATTGCCCTATTCCCATTGGCATTTATATCCAAGATCCTGAAATTAAATCCATAAAAACAACTAATTATTTTAGCAATTTAAATATTACTAATTAATATGTAAGTTACTTGACCCTTAAAGTTCTAACTTCCATTAGTTTTTTCGTTTTTCGTCTACCGAAAGATGAATGGTCTTATATTATTAATTAATATGCTGGAAAAAAAATGATCTTGCCTCTTCATCTACCTAATTAAGAATAAACCAATCTTTTCAATATTAATATTAATAATGAACAATTAATATACCATTCATTTAAATTATTTTTAGTTACCAAGGCAAATAAATTTTATAATATACCATTCACGCTTAGATGTTTATAACTGTCATATTATTATTTTTTATTAATAAATTTATTGCTTTTTTTACATGAAGAAGGAAAAAACCAATGGAAGTTAGAACTTGAAGGATCAAATGTTTACTATTTAAAGTCTCTATGTTTATGAGAAAGTTTTTGGTTAAATGCTAAATTTGGTCCCTCAACTTTAAGAAATGCACATTTTTGATCCTTCAACAATTTTTTGCACTTTTTTGATCCCTCAACTACAAGAAATGCACTCCGTTAGTCCTTCTGTCAATTTAGACCGTTATCTCCGCCACGTGGCATTTTTTATGTTTTTTTTGATGACATGGCATAAACAACATTAAAAAGTG